GGTACCTGCCACTCAGCTGGACCCGCAGTACACACAAAATTCAACTCGTCGTCCACCTGCACACACAAAACCCTAAACCCTAAACCCTAAACCCTAAACCCTAAACCCTAAACCCTAAACCCTAAACCCTCGGGAGGCCCCACAGAGCAAAGACAAAACCCTTTCATGCTGCGGTTCGTATCAACACTCATAAACAGAAAGCAGCAGCAGCAACACAAGCAGCAGCAGCAGCAGCAGCACAAGAAGCAGCAAGAGCAGCAAAGACGTCGGGAGAAGCAACAACAGCAAAAGCAGCAGCAGCAGCAGCAGCAGCAGCAGCAGCAAGAACTACAGCGCCAAAAGAAACAGCAGCAATAGCAGCATCAGCAAGAGCTACTGCAGCGAGAGAAACAGAAGCATCAGCAGCAGCCGCAACAGAAACAGCAGCAGCAACAGAAACAGCAGCAGCAGCAGCAGCAAGAGAAACAGCAGAAGCAGCAGCAGCACCGGCAAGCAGCAGCAGCACCGGCAAGCAGCAGCAGCAGCAGCAAGGGAAGCAGCAGCAGCAGCAGCAGCAAGAGAAACAGCAGCAGCAGCAGCAGCGGCAGCAGCAGCAGCAGGAGAGACAGACAAGAGCCTCCAAGGGTGTAACCCCGAATTTAGTTTTGAATCTCCGCAGTGCTTCGTCAGCAGCAGTCTGAGGCCCTCCTGCTGCTGCTGCTGCTGCAGCAGCAGCAGCAGCAGCAGGATCGATGCAGCGAGCTGCTGCCTCCATATTGAAGTGTCTATCCAGCTCAGCAGCAGGCATCAGCGGGTTGTCCGGCAGCTCCGCCAGCTCCTCTTCTATCTGCAGCAGCAGCAGCAGCAGCAGCAGCAGCAGCAGAAGCAGCAGCAGAGTGAAGAAGGAGGCTGCAGATATATACCGTAGAAACAGCAGCAAAGACAGCAACAGCAGCAGCAACAGCAGCAGCAGCAGCCAGCTTCAGCAGCAGCACCAAAGACACCAACACACGCACCAACACCAGCAGCAGCAGCAGCAGCAGCAGCAGCAGCAGCAGCAGCAGCAGGAGCAGCAGCAGCAGCAGCAGCAGCAGCAGGAATATCTGACAGTTTTAGCGGGTATGCCGTGCAGCAGTTTATAAGGATTAGCTGCATCGAAGTCAAGTAGGTTGCCTTTCCCTTTTGCTGCTGCAGCAACAAGAAGACGAGCAGCACGAACATCTGCTGCTGTTACCGAGACAGCAGGAAGCTCTCCGTAGGGTAAATAAGCTTCAAACTGCAGCAGCAGCAGCAGCAGCAGCAGCAGCAGCAGCAGCAGCAGCAGCAGCAGCAGCAGCAGCAG